GGCTCTTCGCACAGTTTTCGCTTCCTCCTTTTGAGGACGGGCGAATCGTTGGTCAACGTCCTCTACATGAGGATGAGGCGCCCCCATGTGTCAGGTCATCTCGAGCACACGCATCTCTTGCATCAGAAACCCAGACCCCTTAAAGGATCCAAAAAATGAAGCCCCCCAAAATTCCCCCCCTGTCTACATTGGGGAACCTAGGGTAGTATGAAGGGGTTCCATGTTTTGGAGCCTTTAGGGGGCCTGGGAATATATCCACCCCTCAGGACGACTTGAAACCTGGGCCCTAGGCTTTGCCACCAGAAGTATAGGGTTTAGGGCCTTAGGGTTTAGGGTTTAGGATTTAAGGTTTAGGGTGTAGGATTTAGGGTTTAGGGTGTAGGGGTCCACGAGACCTTAAGCCCAGAACCTCTCCCGGGCATCATTCCTTCTACAAGGCGTCCTCCAAGTGCCATCAGAGACCCTCTCCTTCGCTGCATTAGGTCCTTATAAAGAGATGTACGTACAGGTGAAGGCAGGCCGCAATGGGTACGTCTCCTGCAGTCGCAAGTCGTAGAACTAGCAGAAAAAACTGCTCCTACAATATTTGCAAAACACGTCAGCGTCCTTCTGTGAAGGTTCCAGGTCTATGTTTGAGAAAGCTACTTGTGAACTGGGTCTCTGGAAACACCCAGCTGGTAATGGCTTGCCGTGCCAGCTCTGGGGCCACATCACCAGCGGGCGTCGCGGGCTGGCGACTCTTCTCTTTGGGCGCAATAGCCTCCGCCTCATTTTAAGCGTCTGCAGGAGTTTTTTTGGGTGTTCCTCCGAGTTAAGTGGCTCCTATACTATAGCCCATGTATACTCATACCTAAATGTCCTGAATGTCCTCCGGGCCCCAGGGCCCATTGGAATATGCATCTGATATACAAGAAGTGGACAGTAGCTTCAGGCCTCAAACCGTATAGTCCCCTGAAGTAGATAGAACATGGGGTATATGTGGATCTTGTTATAATATACCCCAAAGCCATATTCTATCTACTTAAGGAGGACTAGAAGCCCTGAGAGTCCCCAGGCTTCCGCAGTTCCCTGCTGCCGGCCATGCGGGCGCTCAGCCGTGCCGCGCGGTGGCCGCTGCTTCTGAGCGCCAGGCCGAATTAGGGTTTAGGGTTATATAGGGGTTATATTGGGGTTATCTTGGGATAATGGAACTACTATTTAGGGTTTGTACCTTTAAAGGGGTGGATGTGGGGTTGGGATAGGTTCAGGGTTCGAGGGTTTCCAGGGATTTTTGGGGTTGAGGGTTCCAGAAGACTGTAGGGTTGGGTAGGGTTCAGGCAGCTTCGTGAAATATGCTGGCCAAACTCAGTTAATTTGGGTCGCTCTTACGGCTAGAAAACGATTGTGAGGCATGCTCTATGCCCTATACCCTAAACCCTCGACCCTATACCCTGAACCCTAAACCCTGGAGATCTTGCTAAGGAAGGTTAAGGAGCCGGACAGGGCCTCCTGTTCGGTAACACAATAACCATCAAGATTGGGCGCTACATAGAAGATGGGCAGCCGCACTCCTAAACCCAGAAATCTGCGCCATGCAACGGTGCCTCGATTGTTTTTGCGTCCTACCTTGGACTCAGCCCTGCTTCCGCAAATATTTGCATGGATATCTCCAAGCTCCCGAAGATTCTGGGTTACTGTGTAGTCAAGGTTCCTATGAGAAACTGTCAAAACAAACCAAGGGCCTGCTTGGCCGCGCTACAGTGGATGGAAGAAATCTTGCACCATCTACTTCTACGAGACTCCAAACCTTACTTGGAGGCCCATGGGACTTAGTAGCTACTTATAATTGAGCTTATAACCTTACTTATAATCCCTCTGAATGGGCCTATAGGGGTTACCCCAGCTTATAAGTAGGGTTATAATCCCAATTATAAGTAGTTACTTAGTCCCATGGGCCTCCAAGTACAGCATTTTGAGCGTCGGAAGTGGTGCAAGATTTCCTCCATCCCACTGCATGGCTGTTGGCTGTCGCTGTGTCGCGGAAATCCCCAGACCCAGAACCCCTAAAGGATCCAAAAAATGGAACCCCCTTTTAAAGGGGTTTGTAGGGGTTAAATAGGGGTATATAGGGTTTAGGGATTAGGGTTTAGGATAGATGGAACATCCTAATAATCCCCTAGTTTCCCCAATGTAGTAATGGGTTCACATTGGGGAGGGTTCCATGTTTTGGATCCTTTAGGGGGTCTGGGGAGTTCAGTCCAATGCTGGGGCCCAACCCTTCTTTGTAAATTCCCACATCCCAGATCCTGGGCCTTGAGCTCAAAATTTCCCAAACTTTGAGGTCTAAGCAGCAACCCAAAGGGAACTTTAATACTACTATTACTACTTTTATTCCTATTCTTACCAGTATTACGATTATCCCTTCAAACCAGGCCGCAGGGGCATGTCACGGAGATCCCCACGCTGGACTGCGGACAGATCCTATAGGTTTTCATATTGGGGGAGTGAAGATGGGTAGCATAATTTCTGGGTGAGGGCTGAGTATAAGGGCTATTCTGGGAGTAGATCTGGGCGTTATGTAGACACTTGTACTTTACCCGGAAGCAGCAGTAGGATTTTTGGGCACCTTCGGATTTTTGCAAAATTGCAGGCCATGCTGTTTAGGACAGATGGTTTCAGGCCCTGCTATGGCTTCCATGACTTCGAGATCCCAGTTCCAATAAGTACGCATGTCTGGATTACATAGCTGCTGCTACATGGGGATCATTCATGGAGTGCTTGGGGCTCTCTTGTTGGGTCATGTAAGCAGGTTTTGTAAATGCCTGAGATTGGATCCTCCTTTTCCAGGGAGGCATCGTGCAAGCCCGAAATTATGCATGAGCCATCTAGGTACAAAGGTGTACCTGACGACTGCAGCATAAGGCCGGAAACTTGTGTAGGTCTAGCTTAGATCATGAATCGCAACGAGGTGGGGGTTTTACCAAGCTGGTGAACCCTGAGGACCCTGGGAATCTTTGGATAAGCTGAAAGAAATAACAGGGGTCCCTTCCTTTCAAGGACTACGTGGGTACCATTTGAGAAACTCTCAAGCAGCCAAGTCCAGCAATGCCCAGACCGGCTCTTTCACGAGACGAGGATGTTTTGCGTCCTCCTGAGCGACATTAAATTCTGACGGTGATGGCTGGTGTTTTGACTTGAGCAAGCTCCCACCTACCCACCTTGAAACACCTCAACTGCCTTTTCGTGTTTTTGTTGTTGCTCTGTGTTTACATGTCATGCCGCACATTTACAGCTAGCATCAACGCCATTGGTATCATATTTTTGCATATGACTCCTCTGCATGTCATGAAGCTTGTGTTGGTCCACGTATCCTTAGGGTGATTCACATTGCCATCCTTGCACGCCATGATCATTCTTGCCTTCTGAATATTGCTGCTACGCTTCGAGCTCTAGACCCTAAATCCAAGTTCTAAATGCTACATCCGGCAACCCTGAAACCGGAAACCCTGAAACCCTACTCTTTCAACGCTAGACCCCTATACCTGCAGCCCTAAACCCCCAAACCCAATGCGTACTGGTTCTTAGTAATAAAGGATTATAATCCCTTCAAAATCCTTATATACGTAATATATTGCCTTATTCCCTACCCCCAGTAAGTAAACCCCGGCCCCGAAACTCCATGCCCCTCAGGAGCTTTGCGCTGCTTTGGCCTGGCGCGTGCTCGCCTCGGCTCGGCGATTGCGAGCCAAGGAAGGTGTTGCCGGGTACAGGGTTCGCAAAGACTGAGGGCTTTAGGTTTGAGGATTTCCGGCTGCAGGGTTTCGGGTTTTAAGGTCCTGGGTTTGGGGTCTAGGCGTGTTAGTATCCAAGAAGTAGAGCTTGGTTGAGGGTTCTGGGTTAGAGTTTGTTGGATTTGGGCTGATCGTTGTGTGTTATCCCAACTCTGCCTCTCCTTCTGGAAGGTATATCGGGACATGTAGAGTCCAAGCTTGTTGGGTTCAGATATGTCGAGGACGGGCGTCGATGCTTCTAGGAGTGGGAACTAGGCAGGGGATTGGATGCGGTGAAGACCCCTAAATAGTAGTTTCCATTTTATTTTCCATTATCCGCATATGATGCGTGTTTTTTTATCGGTCANNCACCAAAAACGATAACGACAACATATACTCCAAAAATTGGAAAACGATAACACACTCACCAATTTTCCATTGACCAGTTGCCCAGACCTTAAATAAAAACCCTGCATCAATAACCCCAATATAGCCTCAATAAATTACCTCAATGGGTAATCGTTGTCACTGTGGATGATACTGTGGGGTTCAGGCGATACATTTTTGCGGATTGCTGTTTGTCAACGCCCGTAAATGCACGCAATTTCGGACTTGGGTTGGAGCATGAACTTGCAGTGTTTGGTGCCGGGGACGGCTCTTTTTGAATGGGCCAGTCAAAAATGGACCACATTTACACGTCTGCAGGACCCCTCGTTGAACTGAAGGTGTGGTTACACGTGCCCAAAGCTTTGTCCTCAGAAACAGAAGAAAACGTTTGGGCTCACATATTCAGTCAATGGCTGGGCTTCTTGCATGCCTGCGGCATGGGCGCCACGTTATCTCAGCAGATTGTCCTGCGCACAGTCCATTTGTTGTATTCTCATGTGCACAACCAGCATACGAGGGATCCAAGAGGTGCCCATATCAGACTAATTGGCTTGCGTAGATATCGCTGGGCTGCAAAAAGAGGATCCCCATGTGCAAAAAAAGTCGAAGATGGGGAATTACAAGAGGCATTGTGGGATGCAACTTGTTCAGCGCTTAGGATTTCCTGGAATCACATGCGAGCCGTTTTGCCCGCTGCCCTTTTTTTGCATGGTGTGCTCGGTCCTTGCTTAATGCCCAGATTGCGAAACGTGAGTCAGATGTGACTTGATCAAACTCATGTGTTTTCTGGAGTCCCAGACATGACGACTTTGTGTGGAGGCATAAGCGGAGGGAGGTTTTCAAACCTACTTCATGAATGTACGAATGGGATCCTCATTGTGGAAGCTGCTCTCCCTCCTGCTATCTGCAGCCCGTGCGCAGGGGCATCGGCGCTTGATTTTCCTTGGTATCGGCTCGGGCGCCTCAGCAAAGATGTGTGGAGCAAAATTGAGAGTGGGTGAGGTAAGCAGGGTTCCCCCGTCCTTGAGGATTCAACACCGAAGCGGGGACGTTTCTTGTAGGATCTAGATCCGACTCTTTAGGTCCATCAGCCCAGTTGTTCAGCTAAGGGGTTTGCTTGAACTGGCATCTCTTGTGTTCTCTCGAGATGTCAAGTACTGGTAGCAGTCAGGGTGGACTTCCGTTGACAAGACCACCCCCTAAACCCTAAACCCTAAACCCTAAACCCCTTTCCAAAGCTACCAGATCCCAAGGCGACGCCCTCGTCGAGGCTTCGGTGGTCCTCCATCTGGCCGCAGCAGAGCAGCAAGGATGTTCACCGCGGGAGAAAGCAATTTTAGGTCTAGGTACCCCAGTAGTACCCTTATTCCCTTTTTATTTTGGGGTTCCCTTATCAAAGCTGAATAGTAGGAAAAGGGTACCCTTCTCATTAAGGGGATATTGGGGAACGGGGAGGTCCGTTTGGGCTCACTTGAGCATGTTGTAGGGAGTGGGGGGGGGGGGGAGCTCTTGAATTTCTTGTTCCTCTTTCACGCCCTCGGAACAAGGACTAGGTCATTGCCAGGATAATTACTGTGGGCACGTTGGTATTCTTTGATTAACTGGAAATTCTATGACCATACTTGGAGGCCCATGGGACTTAGTAACTACTTATAACTGGGATTATAACCCTACTTATAATTGGGGTAACCCAGGGTTATAAGCCCAGTTATAAGTGGTTACATGGGCCTCCAAGTACCCTTGTTGGAGCGGCCTTGGCAGGGATTTCTGCTTAGATATTCCAAGTCCTTTGTAGGCCAGTCCTTCAAATGAGCCATAGTCTAAACTCCTTCAGGGAGGGTCATATAGGGGATTATATAGGGAACTATTATAAGGCTTACTTGGGGGGATACTAGGAGTTTAGACTATAGCCCAAATTGTTTTTTAGGATTTTTGCCATCCAAGCTTGAGAGCAGTTTTGGCCTTTGCACCCTGGGATGTTTTTGTTGCTGCGCTCAAGGGGTTTGGGGGGCTGCATTGTCAACGGATGACAGAAGCCAGGCGTTGCCGATGGCTTTGGTCAGCTAGAGTATATCCCTTTGTAGTTTCTTGATGTTGAGAATGCTCACTGTCTGGAGTACGCAGGGGGGCTTCAGATGCAGTTTTGATACGGCTAGGTGACAGTTGTCGGTGCCACATTCCGATGTCGAGTTTGGTATCACACTTATACTGACCATGGATACAGTGCTGCTGCAATCACAGCTTTGATGTCGCATCCAAGGCTTTCCTTGGCGTGGCAGCCAATCTCGAGAAGGAACGACTCCCCCACATCAAAAACTGTAGTTGGTTTCATTCTGTTCCCATTTTGGGTCCCCTGCATATGTGCTGCGCGCGAAACAAACTTCCTCAACTAGACTTTCCGCATATTAACACAAATTAGGATAGCTGCTATTTTACAGCAGCGAGTAAGATGGGACCACATTGGCCCACATAGGGGGGCGCCCCAACATACTATGGTCCCAATTTTGGCCGAACCCACACGTCCCACATCGCAGGGGTCGCCGCTGAGCCTGCTCTGGGACGACTTCGAGATCACGGTGGGGACTGGCATGTCATTCTCCAATGAGCTATAGTCCTTTAAGGGGGTTATACAGCGGATGATATTATGGGGGTTACAAATTTTTAAGGGGGATACTAGGAGTTTAAGACTATTGCTCAATGAATCCAGGGTTAGCTTGGGGCATCGGGTCGAGGATTTGCAGCCGGGGTTGCTCAACATCTGTAGCTTTATGTCATCAGACCAATGCTCTGTCTGTGCTTAGACCAATGTTCTATCTGTGCTTTTAGCCCCTTCCGAAAAGGCCCTAGCATGTGGCATCCACAAATCCTAAACCCTAAAGCACTAAACCCTAAGCCTGTTTCGTCAGCATAGGGAAGGTTGGGAATCCTTGCTTCAGGGCATATCCCTTCATAGGGATTATGATAGGGATTCTTTTTTAAGGCCCTTAAAAGGAGAGGATTTATTAATCAATAATGTACTAATAATATTAGTATTAATATCAATAATCCTAATACTACTGTTTAGAGTTTAGCGTTTAGGGTTTAGGGCTAACAGTATTATTAATAACAATAGTGGGTCTACATTGACCAGGCAATTTTGTGGTTCCAGACATGACTAAACCTTGCCTGCAGGTTGTCACCACCGACAGTGCCAACGATGAGGTCTGCTTGGGGTTCGGGGTCTATAGCCCCCGTTTAGATAGAAATGGCTTCGGGTATATTACGATAAGATCCCCTTTACCCCGTATTGTATCTTCTTAAGGGGAACTATAGGGGTTTAGTGGTTTAGTTTAGATGGGGTTAGAATTCTGCAAGCCCCGATTTTTTCCTTAGGGTCCCGGATTGAAATCATGATTGCAGCATCTCTTTGTGTGGGCTAGAAGCGAATTTCTCCAAAAGCTACTGTTGATGGAGGAAATCTTGCACCACCTTAAGTCCCGAAAGTCCTAGGAACTACAGTGCTTTAGGGTCCCTAGGTGGTGCAAGATTTCATCCATCAACAGTATGTTCTGTTTGAGCAGACTCCTCACTAACCACACTGTGGCCTCAAGTGTAGGTAATAGATTTGGCTTCGGTACCCTGGACTTCTTAGACCCCCTAAAAGATGCAACAAATGGAACACCCCAAAATGATCCCCATCATTACATTGGGGAAACCGGTGGATCATTGGGATGTTCCATTTACCATACCCTAATCCCTAAACCCTATATACCCTTATATAACCCCTACAAACCCCTTGAAAAGGGGGTTCCCTTTTTTGGATCCTTTAGGGGGTCTGGGTTGCACCGCGGACCGAGGAAGTCAAAGTTCTACTCTCTTACCCACGCGGTTTAGGGTTAAGGGTTTAAGGGTTTAGGGTTTAGGGTTAGGGTTGCTTGAACACATGCAAGGAGACCCGATCTCTTGAACGGAAGCCTTCCCGTTCATAAGAGGTTTAGGGTGTAGGGTAAGTCAGAGCCGCCAGGGTGCTACAGTGATACCCTATAAACCCTAAATTGCATGGAAGCGCTTTGTTCTGGCTTGCCAGGACCTCCGCTTGAACCGTATCGCCGAGGTCCGCAATCCCTGCTGCCATATTCCCCAAACAACAAGTACCTGTAGCCTCCTTGCGAATTAGTTAAAAGATTGTTATACTCTAACCCTAAGGAATTATTGAAAAAGACGTCATTTCCATTGTATTTCTGAGGGGACTGCAGGTACTGGCTTGTGTGAGAACCGCAGCTTGCTGTGCAGATGCCAGTGAGTACTAGATCGTCGCAGCAGTCATTCCTGCAAGGCACTGCCCTCTTCAGAAGCCCCAAAAGTCAACAGCAGGTTGTGGGCGTGTAATCATGTGCAATCGATGGCCCTCTAACACGGCTGATAGAGTTTAGCAAGAATTGTCACACGCAGGTCAAAGTAGATTAAAGTAGCAATGCCAGGTTGAAGTCTAACGGAACTAAATTGCTGGTCTGGGTTAGCAAATCGGCTCATATGTACCTCAGCTAACATAGCAGGAAGTTGCTTACCAGCTCTGTGCGTTCAAGCTCCTCTGTACACGTAGTCGATTTTCCTGAAGGAGAAGTAGTGATAGGACTAGGGAAAGTACTGAACCAAACCCTACACGATCAGCAGGGCAGAAGTCATAGCACTGATCTTGTATCAACATGTGAGTAGTATTCTATTTGGGGATACCATGGTACCCATTGTAGAGTAAGATTCTATCCTCTTTTTGGGTATAGTATTTTATAGAAGGAATATAATCTTACTAGGTTCAACCACGAAAAAAAAAGCTACTCATGTGGATTTCCGAAACTTACGGTCCCTTTCGGGGGTTTCGTATAGCGACTTTCAAGCTCTGTGGCAGAGGCGCCGACAGAGCTCCCTGCACTGCGCCTGGATCGCCGCGCCGCGGTTCGGCGCTTTGCGAGCGAGGCGCCGCTCTTCGCCTCTGGGCTGGAAGTGAGATGCCAATGAATGGGGCTTGGTTTAGGGGGGTATAGGGTTTAGGGATAGAGGTTTTGGGTTTTGGGGTAAGAGTCTGGGATCTAGTGATAATCAAGGGTTTAGGCATAGTTAAGTGTCATTGCTTCATAGGGCTCAGCGTGTTTAGCCTGCTGTGGTTCATGGTCTAGATACTTGGCTTTTCGGATTGGGTTTCGGTTTGAGGGATTTTGGCAATCAAATTAAGGCTTAGTTTTGATGATCCAGTTTTGATGTTCAAGATGGGCTCTAAGGAACACGCAGATTACAGGGGTTATAATGGAGAGCAGATTCAGCTGTTAGTGTGGTGCTGGTGAAACAGGTGTTGTTGTCATTCTGGCAACGACGCTTCTGCTTCTGCGGCCATTATGTTTGCAACGACGCCGGCGGCGACTATGACGACAAAGGCTGCCACCACTGCCCCTGCTGCCCTGAACTGGACACAAACCGAACGCGGCTGCCCTCAATATTGCACAGATGCAGGAAAAACAACAGTACAGATGAAACTCAAGTGGAACCTGGAAAGGCCCAACCACAGACCTATGGACTCTATGGACTGCCGTTTTGTTCCATGCTACCTTGAGAGATAATGAGCATCCCAGTGAGGTCTTCAGCTCCTGGATGCCCATGCACGCATGCTGGTGCTCTGATGTCGTGGAGGACGCTGGAAGCCGCTTAGTGGAGCGACTTGCTGCAGGATACAGGGGTTACTGGGGCTTTGTTGGAACGCAATGTGTGGGGTGTGGGGTTGGTGGAAAGTATGCAAGGGCGGAAAAGCGGGGTTTTCGAGACTAATTCTGGACGGGATTGTGGTTTTCTCCTGGGATCAAAGGCGATCCACCAAGCTTGGGCTATACCTAAGTGCTCTCCGCAGAGGGATTTCTGACGTCAACAAAGAACGTCATTCTGCGGGCATATCCTGAAGTGCTGCAGTGGTTGTTCTGCTAGAGTGAATTTTGGATTGACGGGCAAACAGACTTCAGGGATCTGCTCATTTTTTGGATTGATTGAAGCCTGGCTAGTCGCTGCTAGTTTCAGGAACTCGGATGGTCAATTGCTTGGATTGCGTCCTTTGAGTACGTAGTATAGTGAGAGTGGACTGATTCGTTACAGAAATTTGAACTTCTGAGAGATGAGTTTGATGTCAATATTGGGATAATGGAAAATAAACTGGAACCTACTATATTCGTATTGTTCTTATATTGAGGTTATATTGGGGTTATATAGGGATAATGGACAAGAAAATGGAAGCTCCAATATTATAATAAGGCTCGGGGAAAATGCTGCCACAGATATGACTTTGACTAGGCAAGAATCTGGCGGCAAGGCTTGCATTCACATTGAAATACATGAGGCAGATAGGACGACACTCATGGCTGTACCCCGGAGATATTGCTATAACGCGCTATACGTTCAAGATGTCACTCTAAAAGTGGTAAAAAACAAGATAGCACTTAAACACTTTCAAGTTGTACATTGTACTCAAGCTGTAAGCTAATTTGTATCAGCTTGGGTATCCTAACCACCCCTATGCTGCCCCCCCTAAGGTCCGCTTAATTGGGCTTGTTACCGTGTAATGAGTCTCTTCGCGCTGAGGATGTGTTTCTTGACCTCGCCTCCTGAACTCATCCAGGTCCCGCGCCAGGCCCGTCCACAGGGGTTTTTGCGCTGAATTCAGAAAAAAACTCTGAGACAAGTGACGTGGTCAAATTGGTATATGTTGGGCTCCCTGTCTGTTGATGGCAGTGATGGATGGTTGCTGCCGGATGGCTCGATTTTTTTTTTTGAAGCTGGTCCGTACCTGCCCTTTGTGGATCCCAAGTCTCTCGCGCATGAACTAAGTCGACCCAATTTCTTCTATGCCTGCTTCACAAAAGCTTGACCAGGATAGGTGCTTGTGCTCGTTCGTTATCGTATCACATGTGAGTTCAAGGTTTTGGATTGTCTCGCTTGCGTTGCGCCTGGAAGCTGCGTGCTGGAAGCTGGCAGGCTATGGATGAACTCGTTGTAGCTGGCCACAGAAGCTGTCCCCCCTCTCTTTGAGGCTTCATGATGGGTGGTTGTCAAACTTATGGTCCCTCTTTGGGTACTCTAAATATTAGGTGCCGTATCATAATAGGGATCCAAAAAGGAACCATAATTTTGACAACCGCCCTGATGATTCACTTACAGCATTGTTGACGGGTCCTGAAATTTTGCCAAAAACCTGAAGAACCGGAGCCCCATCATTTGGACACTTCAGAAGTGAAGCATCCTTTCCTCGGAGGACATCGCGTGAGCAAAGGACAGCCACTTGGTAGGAGCTAGAACTGTGTGTCCTCAGGATTCCAAAAAAAAAGCGAAACGACATTGATAATTGAAATGCCCCAGAAAATCACAAAAAGCCTTTCGGTTCCTTACTGCACCATATGTAGACTGTTGAGCCATCTGAGCTGCAGTCTAAACTCCTAGTATCCTTCTAAATAACCCCTATAAGAGGAGCCCTATATGATCCCCTGCATAACCCCCTTGAAGGAGTTTAGACTTCAGCTCATATGAATGCGTCTAGAATCAGAGCAACAGAGCCCTATAGGAAGTGCTTCGTCCTGCAACTGCGCAGCTGCGGGCGACGCAGGCGCCTGCATTAGCCAATATGAGCTATAGTCTAAAACCCCTCAAGGGGGGGGCGTTATACAGGGGATAATATAAACTCCTTAAAGGGGGGTTATATGGGGGTTATATATATGGATAATGGAAAAGAAAATGGAAACTACTATTTAGGGTTTAGGGTTTAAGGTTTAGAGTCTAAACTCCTTAAAGGGGCTTTACATGGGGGATTATATAGGGGAGAATTATAGGGTTATTAGGGTGGATACTAGGAGTTTAGACTACAGCTCAAATAATTGTGCGGAAGATGTGGTTGTAGGTCTCCGTGAGTTTAAGAATGGTTCTGATGGTGTACAGATTGTACCTGGGGTGCCCCACATAAGGCGATCCTACAGGTAGGCATGGAACCCCTCCTGAAACAGTGAGACAGACAGATAGATAGGCATGGAATATGGACAATGTATGGCTTGCGCAGGAGTATGTGATGTAAGGCAAGGTAAGGAATTGGGTAGGGATGCAGAGATTCATATGGAGAGGGAACTCTTCGAAGTCATACAGCAAGTTCACTGGACATGGAAAACGTCCTGATTGCATGGGCATCATTGCAGAGGCAAAGTAGAAGGTATACTCGACAGAGTTAAAATACTTGTATGGGGTGCTTATACAACCCCAAACCCCGCATCTTAAACCTTACCCTAGGGATCCAAGTATACAAATATTAACTATATTAGGCCCTAAAGTCAGTGAATCTTAGCCACATTGGATTTTTGGGGATCTCTAGGCTTGAGCCTTAACGTAGAGCTCCGGACATGCCATAGTCTAAGCTCGGGGTTATACAGGAGATTATATGGGGATCATAGGGTTGATATTGGGGTTATATCGGGAGAAAATAAGATGGAACCTACTATAGTATATTGGGGTTATCTAGGAGATCATACAAGAGACTCTTAAAGAGGTTATTGAGGGGGATACTGGAAAGTTAGACCATGGCTCATATAGGGTAGCTAAGTATGTGGTCTGGTTCGGCCTGTGAACTTTGCCTTGCTTATTTGGTTTGGACGTTCATTGCTCATTATGATGACGTTGCGGCTTTGGAAGATGAATTTGAAGACGAACAAGAAAAGCGCGGTGAAGCTGATGCCGGTCATGCCGGTCATGCCGGTCATCATGATGATGATGATGATTATGATGATGACGGTGGCGATGGCGATGGCGATGGCAGGGTTGGTGATGATTGTCTAAGACTTGACTACTCATGCGAGATGCAATTTGAAAGCCCAAGTCCCTTCAGCAGTGCACCAACCAAAGCAAGAAACTGAACCACTTCCCAGACCACAGGAGATCCATCCCTTGACGCTCTGCCGTTGGGACTTTCTGGCAGAAGGCTGGAAGTTCTTTTTTGGCAAGTGCGTGGTGCAATCATGGGATTCTCCCATTGTGGCCGTAGGTGGGGTTTCTTGCCTTGCCTTTTTCATGGGAGTTCGGCCACAGGCTTCAAGGAAGAGGCGGACATGGACAGCGACTTACGCGACCTGGCATTTTACTTGAAGAAGGGAGGGGGGACGAAGCGCGTGGGAAGTTAGCGTTATGCAGATGCAACGCCTTGCCAAACAAGGCCCTTCCTTTGGTGTAAAGGTGTAACATCATCGGAGCTATAACAATTTCCTTCCCACCGTCATGACCATGGTGCGCTGCAGCGCGTCGGATGGGATCCCTCGAGTCGTTCAACCGAGGAAAAGCGGATTATCGCGCGTGACAGATAATGGAAAAGAAAATGGAAACTACTATAGTAAATATAGATAATATAGGGAAGAATGGAAAAGAACATGGAAACTACCACAGTACATATATATATATATAAGAATGAATGGTCGGTAGCATGGCGCTCCTGATCACCCTTCCCAACATAAGAAGCAGTGCTATGCTGTACAAACACGGAGCCAGTCTCAAAACCTGCATGGGGCTCAGCAACGTGTGTTGATCAATGGGCCAGACACCTGGACAAAAAGCTTAGTCTTCCCGGCGCAATTGCTTAATGGTTTTGGCGCACTGCATAGAACCTTTTTGAAACTAATTACAGGTGTCTCGAGGAATGCTGCATCATTCTGTATCTAGTGATATTCCATTGATGTCGACTGACTATGGAAAGTATGTAAGGTCACGTCTCAATGCGGCGCCCTACATCTAGGGTCCCTCCTCTTGCCTCTTTCAAGGGACCTACGGCACCATGAACCCTAAACCCCGTTTGAAGCAAGCCAAGCTCAGGAAATGCCGGGCTTTTCCATAGCCAGCTCTACGTCACTAGCGCCTCAGCTTGCTTAGACTGTTATAGGTCTGGGGCTTATCCCCCATGATTCATACCCTGTCTGGATATGTGTCGAGGGTGATGTTTAGGGGGTGATATAGGGATTTAGAGGGATCTGTCTGGGGATGGGGCTTAACCTTGAAAATTGGTATTATATGAGACCTTCTGTCTAGCTAGCACCCTTCTAAAGCCCGACATCATCCCTTCGGAAGGAAGTGCAGTTGTATTCATTCGCACTTCATCCAAGGTAACCGCTCAGTGCCCCCGCTGCCCCTGCCAACAACTCTTCTCCACAGCCGTGGATGCGGCTGGGATGGAGCAGAGCGTTTGGATAACAGTGCTATACTAGGGGATCCAGATTCTTTCACGTGGAATCCCTTCCCGTCTTGCTTTTCCAAAGAATGGGCCCCAATGATGATAGATATTCAAGCAAAGGAGTCTCTAGGGCTGTTAGTAGCCTGCGGTCTGTCTGCATACAGGGCTAGGGGCTTAAGGCATTACACAGGACGTCGCATTGCACAAGGTCCTTCTTCCCCAGTCCAGCATTTCAGCACTTCCAAAAAAGCTTGAGGTATATTCCTCAACTAAGGGGTCTTTGTAGTCCTGGGAACCCCATCTGAAACCTTGTGTTGAGGTTACCATCGGCGGATGTCGAAGGATGAACATCTTACAGCTGTGAACGTCTGCCGCGGGGTGGGCCTCTACCACATACATAGCCCCCAGGACGAGAGCTTTTAGGGTTTAGCGTATAGACTTTCGGGCTTAGCAAGGACAAGTGCTCAAGGCTTGGAATTGTCTTGGGCATGAGGTTTCTATACTGCGGGATCCTTTTTGTGTGCTGTTGGGCCACGTTTACACAAGGCCCTAGGGCGCCAGCATGAAGCACCAAAGAGGACCTTGGCGCCCCGGCGCCTGGCACACAACTGCTGAGCCTCCGCCAGGACCCCCGCATTTGGCTTCCTGAAGGATTTTGGTCAAGGTTTTGATGGTGAGGGGCCTTTTTCAGCTGACTTCAGTAATTTGAGTTTTTAATGTGCATTTAGGGTATCTAGTTAAGTTTGATCGCTTAGCTATGAGACAGATATGGGCAACCACAATTTACGCTGATGTAGGGCTTATGCAGGAATCGGGCATCAGCGGTGATGAGCCGGTGTCAGTGTTAGGAAGACTTGGCATGGGCCGAGTTCCCTTCAATACCTCTACCTTGGGGCTCCTATGCTGTTCAAACGCATACTCATGTAAGCTACCCCAACGTCCTCTTCCAACCATCCTGAAAGTAGACCCGCGCCTTCTTTAGGGCCTTCCCGACTTAAGGGCTTACCACACCCTAAGGTAGGGAATCTTCGTTACGAGGGTTTAGGGTTTTGGGTTTAGGGAGCCACTTGAGCTACATATGGCCTATGGCTCTGGGTAAAGACGACCTAGGTAGAGTGAACCATCGTTTGTGATGGCTCATGCTACTTGGCCCCATTACCCCTGAACCCCTAAGTTTTTATGCCCCCAAACCCTAAACCCAAGTAGTGTCCATTTCATTTTCCATTTTTCCATTTGATTCTCCATTGTTGGGGTTATATCCCCTGTATACTCCCGTATATAACACCCCCCCCAGACTCAGAACCAAGTGCCCCCCTACCTTTAAGTTGCAGGCGTTGGCGGAATCTCCAAGCTCAGCCGTGCCTTGCTCCAATCCTCAACGCTGGCTTTAAGCTTAGAGTTTAGGGGTTGAGGGGTTTAGGGGTTTAGGGGTTCTGGGGGTTTAGGGTTGGGGTTTACAGATTTAGGGTTTAAGGTTAGGGGTTGAAGGGCGGAGGGTTTCTCAGGAGAAAAACACTCGACGATCCCCACACGACGTATAGATTTTCAGGACCTCAAAGCGGAGCGCATGTTTGGAGAATCCCCGGGTGATGCGTAGAAAGGTTCCAGCAAGATTCGCAGAGCTCGGATTTCAAGATGCATGCATCCCCGGCAAGCATCTAAGTCTACATGGCGGTGTCCATTTTTGTGGAACCCTCTCTCGCAAATACCTTCGCAGGTCACACCACAAATCACAGACTCCTTGCTTTTTTCACACTACCAGACTGCAAGGCGTTCATAGCGCGGTGCCTGAAGTACCTGGAGGGTGCAGCCAAGAAGCAGCTACAGCAAGCCTTGGCTGCCTGTCCATCAGAGTTGGGGTTTGGTTGGGAGCCCTAGGAAGGATATGGGGGGATTTCCCAAACTTAGGGTCCCCATAATCGGGATTATAGTACTTTAGGGTCTACATTGGGGTGCCCCTATTTGGGGAAACTACCATATGAGTGTGTGGAGTGTGTGAAGAAGGGTGTCTACTGTGTTTTTTGGTGACTGTATGCAGGGTTCTTTCAGAAGATTGGTGAGTGTATGTGTTTGGTGTCCAATTTTGGAGGACTATGAATTGAAGTTCTATCTTCGGTATAGATATTTAACCTCGTTCTAACAAGAAATCTTACCGTGATTGTTTTAAGGCCTTGTAGTACCCTCATTTCAGGGGTGTAGGGTGTAGGTGTACGGCTTTTGGATTTGCGCGCTCCTCTGCTACCCTCTTCTGCTCGCCCCCCCGACATTGAGACATTGAGGGCGGGGGAGGGGGGGGGGGGG